GGTTTCAAACTCGTAGAATTTCTCTAGGTTGACGGGTTGGACAAAACTTATTGAACATACTTTGGACATTTTCTGTGAACTATCAGAACCGATGACAAACCATCCTAGCTTCGCTCTTTTTCCAACAGGCTCAAATTGACGGCCTTGACGTACTTCATCTTCTGCGTGCAAATGACTGAACTGGACACCTAAGATAAGATCAATTGGACCAGCTTTATGCGAGAAGTCGATGTCTCGAAGGTGTGCAAATGATTTCAACCACGGACGATCCAAACGTGGGACACTTAAAACGGTTTCTCGATTTCGTGGGCTTCTATTCTCTGCTTTTCTGCTCCGTTGAGTGCTGAGATTGAGAAGGTCACTCTTCTGCTTTGGGGTTGTTCAACTCTTTCTCCTCCAACAAGGGCTAGGTCAATTTTTTCTCGTTTGCCTTGCAGACCAAGTGATCGGGCAAAATCCTTTCGAATTACTGTGGTACCTGCGCCGCTGTCGATGAGGACATTTCCTTCGCGTGTTCGACCGTTTGGTGCTCTGAAACAAACTCTAACAACTGGTAGAATGCTTCCCTTGTCCAGCACTGATGATATACCGCTCATTGTTCCAGGCTCTTTGTGTAACAGCTGATGATGAAGTCTTGTGCATCCATTTTTCTCGCATTTTTTCTTCGATCTACAGTCTCTCGTCACGTGACCTTTATTCAGGCAAGAAAAGCATAATCTTGCCTCTCTCACTAGGTTGAAACGTTCTGGGACGGTAGAATCAGCCAAGGTAGGACATTCTATCACTTTGTGGTCTTCATTACACACATAACATTTCAAGGCTTTCGAATGCTCGTTCCTTTGTGCTGCGTTAATTCCGTGTCTTTCTCTTGCTTCGCCTTTCGCGGGTCGTACTTGGGAGGTTTTAGAGACATATCTCCAAAGTCGGGATCAAATTCCGCCTTTACTTGTTTTCGCAAAAAGGTACTAATATCTTCAACCGTTGGGGGTCTTTGTTTCTCTCTAATATCTATTACTACGCTTTTCCATTTCTGAATGAGATAATCCGGTAATCTCATTACTATCTTTCGGAGGTTGTCACTGGCGTTGACGTCAGCGAAGTACTTGACTTGATGCATGGTTGCTACGCAATTAACTAAGTCTATCGAAAGTTCTCGAAGCGCGCGTCTATCGTTACGTTGAATCTTGTCTCCCTTGGTAAGTTGATTTACCAAAGAACGAGCTATAGTACTTGGCTGTCCAAATTGTTCCTTTAAAATCTTTAATGCTGTCGCATACATAACACCCTTGGACCCAAGTCCCGAAATCGCGCGTTCGGCATCTCCGGTAACGTGCATTTTTAATTGAATCATTCGCATGTCATCTGTCAAGTGCGGTTTGTCATGAATATGAATTTTGAATCGACCAATAAAATCGGCATAGAAGAGCGCATTTCCACTGAATTTGGGCAGTTTAATGGTCGGTATATCTTTACTCGCTTCTAATTTATAAAGTGCGTCAGCTACAGAAACACTTTGAGATGATTTGGGCAAAACAGTTTCTTTAAACTCTACCAAATCGTCTATCCATGCGTCAAAGGGGCAAGGTGTTGTTGGGGAGGATAAATTCGTATTTATTGTATTTTGACCAGATTCTACTGAAATGGGAGAGACTTGTGGGGCTTCAGATATTTCGTTTGCTGGATTATTTTCAATACTTGACACAGGTATAGTCTCAGGTTCAATCTCAGGCTCAGTGGGAGTCTGCATACTTTGCATATTTTGTGAAGTACTTTGGATTTGCGAGGTTTGTGATGCCTCGGGCAACGAAATCGTACTTAAATAATGTTCAGTTTCTTCTTCGATCGAATAAACATCGTTCGTTAGATCGTTTTCCCACTTGTCCATCGTTGGTAATTGGGATTCGTCTGCGAAATCATATAATTGCGTGTGGAACTCGCGTGCGCTTTCAAAATCGCGCCTCAATTCTGCCATCTCTTTATCAAATCGTGTTTTATTGTGATTGTTTTGTTCAATAAATTCCCTAATACGTTTTATAGAACGAGTGATTCGAGCTCTAAGTTGTCGGCGTTTGCTTTTAATTGCAACTTGCTGCTCTGGGTCAGTATTTTCTGAACTAAGGGTTATTTGTACTTCTGGTTCGACCATTTCGCAATTTTCAATGTTCAATTATTCAATGTTCAATGTCACGCAATACTGTCGTCTTTGATTCTCAAATTACTTGTACCAACACTCGCCTTTGCCTGCTAATCGGCACACATAACCTTCAGAAGTTGATTGGCACTGACTGTTTTACTGAGTCGAACAGGGATTTCTTTTAATATTTAATGAGATAATATATTCTATACAAAATGAAAGTTACCTAGTATAAGTATAAAGGCTAAAACACATGCATTCCAATCATATTTTCGCGACATAACATGGTAAAATTGACTAATAACACAATACTACAAATATAACATATAAAACAATTAAACATCTGTACCTGAAGGATAGATCCCTGCAGGACTTGACTCTGACTACAATTTTACGTTAATCTCTCTAACTATCCGTCCTTTAAACCGTCTCTTTACTCTCGCGTGTCTCTCTTACAAAATACTGATACAACTAACGTCTATAACGTCACTCAAAAATGTCATCACTTAAATGTCTATATAAACCATAACAGAACTTAATACTAACTATATCAAATGTCAAATGTTGCTCGCTATTTACACCAAACATCATCGTCCACTTTCGCGAGACTCTTTTTTTTCTCCTCGCGACCTTGCCATGCGAGATACAAGAATCCAAGACCGATTCCAAGTCCAAAGATCATGCATAGTTTTTCTAGGGAAAACATCGAAGTTTCATCGTGTTCGGCGATACACTTTTTCCTTAATTCCGCTTCTAATCCTGCTTTTTTTGCTGCTTTTGCCTGTAAACTGATCGCCGCCAATTTTTTCCTGCCGCTACTCTACGTGGATCTTTGATTTTTTTCGGTTGTTCCGGTAATTTCGAGACGGCCACCGCTGGGTCCGAAGGATTTAGTTCTGACATTTCTTTATTATTGTATGAAAAAAAAATCTTAGGAATTTACTTGTAAATTCTTACAGGACGTACTGGAAATTTACTAGAATCTCACTCATATCGTGTCCCCTTAATTCCGCTTCCAATATTACCTTTTTGGTTGCCTTTGCCAGTAAACTGATCGCAGCCAATTTTTTACCTAACGCTATTTTACGTGGATCATTTATTTTTTCGATGGTTTCGTCGTGATTATCGTCGCTGGGTCCGAAGATTTTGATTCTGTCATTTCTTTATTATATACAAGAAAAAATCTTGGAATTTGTCCGTGTTTCCTTAAAATTTGCTTGCTAGGTTTTATGGAACGGTCTCAAAATTTACTGCAATCTTACTCACCACGTTTTACAGGACGTCCTCGAAATTTACTGGAGGTTGTTGTCAAGTCTTACTCACCATGTTCTACAGAACGTTCTCAAAATTTACTGGAAGTTACTGTCGAGTCTTACTCGCAGGGCACACTTGAATTTACAGTAAATTCAAGTCTTACTCGCAGAAATATCCTTATGACCCCAGGCCAACGTATGGATTCTATCCTTGCAAACGTGTCTCTTGTCGTCGTAGTCGGACAATGCCACTTTCGTGATCCTTTCCGTACGAAGATCGTGCTTGTAACTTCGAATCACATCCATGTCACGCCATTGCCTTTCGCGCGTGAAAAGACAAGTCTTAAAATCTTCGTATCTTAATGTTTTCTTGATCGTTGCTTTCTTGATTCCCTTCGCCCTTTTTCCTTCCTTACCGTCCTCCAATTTGTATGCGTACAACTTTGCTCGCAAACCGACGAATTCAACAATCTGATCGGCTTCCGTTTCGAATTTCATCATTCCCAATACTTTCTTATTTTTCCCACACGGAATTCCCGACGGATGAGATTTTGGAAAATTACTCGTATCGAACCATTAGTCTACATCGTTCGAAATACCTTTGAAAAAATCTTCGGTTTTTGCACGTAAGATGAACGAATCCGTATCCGTGTACAACTATCTCACGTTCTCACCGAATTTCGGTTTCAGGTGATCGTAGAAAAATTTATACATGTGAATTGTACTCAGATCCAAGATCGCGGCTCCCACGTAAATGGGTTTGTCCAAACAAGTCTCGGTCTTTTTCATGTGGGTCGCTAACAAATCTTCCGAAAAGATCGTTGCCCTTTCGAAATTCTGTCTTCTCGCTAATTTATTCCAATCTTTTTCGTTATTCACCAGACGGATATCCGTACGGTTTCTTACGTTTTCCATCGTCTTTCCAAAAACAGCATTACACATCAACTTATAAAAATCTTTTTCGAAATCCGTCGTAGCTTTTTTACGAAGTTCGATATTCATATGAATATATTCGGCCAACGACGGTCGTTCCGAAAACATGACTCCCTCGTGAATTTTTAATAATTCCAACCCGTGATCCAAATAAAATTTTAAGTTTCTTGCGTGGACGACGTATTCTTTTTTACCTCGTAAATTCGGAGCCAATTTTGGAATATCGCTTTCTGTCATTACTCTTTCGGGTGCAAGTGGATAGTCGCTATGAAAGTCGTGAAATTCCTTCGGATACCTTAAATCCACTTTTACAAAACAACTTTTTCCTTCCGGAAGCCGGTCCCACTCTTTTTCGAAATTCGTCATCCATTCGAAATCACCGTAAGGTAACGGTTGACTCATGGCATACCCATACAAACTATTCGCATCCAAATACGGGACGAACGTAGATGGTACGTCGGTTTTTGGATTCCGAAGACTCGTTACCCATCGCGTTAGATTTCTTGTAACGTACGTCATGATTTTGTCGTCGTCCTCTTGACTAAAATCCCATAAAAATTTACAAAGTTTGTTCTCAAACCCTAAAACTTTTTTGTGAATCTCGGTGGGATCGTTCCGAATCTTCAAATCTAATTCTTTCAACAACTCTATAACCTCTTCCGGAATTTCGGAAATTCCCACGTATTTGTTATCGGCCGTACCGTATCGCATCACCGACGTGCTTACACCACCGCGAATTCCCTCTTCGATAAATTCGTATATTTTCGGGTCGGTAATCAATTGTAAAATGATCCTAGTCTTTTTCAAATATGCATCCCACGATAATCCCGGAGCCGTGTAATACCATGACGGATCCAATCCGTATGTTTTACGACTTTGTTTTCTAAAATTCTCGATCACGTCCGATAATATCAACGTATCCGTAACCAAATACAGATTGTGATAATCCAGCATATTTTTCATGTCGAACGACTTCCATACAATCCTGGCACGTTCGTATTGTTCGTCGCTGATATCTTCTCCCGTTAATCCGCTGTAAAATTCTTTTTTGGGTGGAAGACATCTTTCGTTAAACTTTTCGTGATTGTTCATATATTCGTAAGAATACACTCCCTTCCGTTTCAGTAAATCTCGTTGTTCCTCTGTGTATCCCTTTTCCACACAGTACCGATCTAACTTTATAAAATCCGTCTTATTCTCCAATCCCTGTGCAAGTTTATCCAACGATGACTGCATCAGCTTACACGAATCCAAAAACCGAATTTCCACGGTCTTGCTATATTCCTTCCCCGTCTCTTCGTCCGTAAAAGGACCCACTAAAATCATCTTCGAAAAAGAAATGTACTTCTGTTCCGTCTTGGAAATACATTTAAATCTACCCGAAATTCTCGCAAGTGCACGGATGATTAGATGGGCATCGTATCCTTCGAGATTATGGAAATACACCGGAACGAACGATGGGACCTGCATTTTTAAATTACACGTGTTACATGCGGCACCTCGGTATTTTCCCGTGTAATGACAATGGTCTCGTACCTTGTGATTCTCTTCGGTGAATTTTTGGTGACACACGTAACAACAAGTTTCTCCTAAATGACTTCTTTTCTGATCGTCTGATAATTCCTCCATGGAAATGGGATCGTGAGTCTTTAGAAAAATTCACGCACTTTTCCAACGAGATCGTTCACGAACCTATCGGATATACACTGCAGTTCGTGAACCGATGTTCGTTGAACCGTCTCGGACTTCATCCTATTATCGTTCGTACTCACCGTATGAAAACAATAGGAATTCATGATATGATCTTGTAATTGTATCCTTCCCGAACCTTGGGGATTGTTGTCTTTTTCGAACCTCTCGATCGTCTCCTTCTTCTTTTTCAAAAAAGATTCCGTATTGCTACTGATCACGTACGGATGGATTTGCATCCTTCTTTCTCCCTCGAATTTACAAATGGAACCTTCTTCTGGATACACGTCCATCTGCTGATCTTCGTTCAAACACCATTTCAGATGATTTTCTAAAAGATCTTTTCTTCCGAATCCATTCAGACATTTATCGCAAAAATATTTGACATGTCCGTGGTTGCTCGTCTGGAAGCCTACTAGTCTAGAGAAATTCTTGACGATATAATAATGTTCCTCCCAAATAAAAAGACGTATCGTACGTTTTCCACCCGACGAAAAACATTTACTGATTTTTATCGGATAAAATCCTTCGTCTTCGTCCCACGAAAACACGTTAACGTTCACACAGTTGTTTCTCTCGAAATTGTTGATAGATTTTCCATCGACCGGAGTTGGAAATTCAACACCTTTCCAATATAAATCTTCCGCTTGCTGACGAAGTTCTTTCGTAATTCTTTCTGGATGTTTACCCACGGGATTTAACGATCGAGTCACCGCCCATTTAAAACATTGATCGTCTGTATTTTTCATGTTGATCAATGCATGTTTGTTCCTTATAAATTTCGGAAGCGAGATCGTCTATCCCTTTCCCTTCAACGGAATAAATTTTCCGATGTGAATGTCTAGACGCTGAACTCTTTTCAAAAACCATCCACTTCCTTCCTTCTGATATCTTGAAAATTGTTCCAAAACTTTCTCTATCATTTTTTCCCAAATATCGTCCGTCATCGTATCCACACCGTAAAGTTTATAATTCCCCGTCGTAAACGATACATCTTTTTCTATTTCATTCCCGATTTCTTCTTTCCCCATCAGACAAATTAATTCTAACCGAACGTTCCTGGATAAATTACCGCGTAATCCATTCAGAAGTTCCTGGATTCTTGAACGAACGGCTTCCAAAAACGAAACGGGTTCATAAGCCGTGACCGGTTTGATTGTATACCTTAAAACCATCCCGCGTATCGCACTTTCCTGACAAATCGGAGTCAACTCTAAAAATAGGTACTCAGTGCGTACATGTTGCATGCCACCTGAAACTTATGAAGCGCTATAGCGCTTATATAAATCTTGATTGGATACAACTGGCGTGAAACTTAAAATTTCGATTCAATTAAGTTTAAAATATCAATATATTTATTGAAAAATAACTGTTATGTCAAAATAAGGAAACTTAAAGGTGCCCTACAGTCATTTTTTAGTCGAAAAGCCACCTTAAGTAGGGGACTCCACGGAGATTCGTTTGGCTGTATCTTACATGCAGTATCCATGAATATGAGTACTTCCGCACACCGGAAGATGTATACACGGCAAAAAAACGCCGAGCCCGCTGCTCAACAGGATTGAACAATGTTTTGGTGCCCATGTTGTTCACACTTGTCAACAATATTGAACAGTATTGTTGAGCCTGAATCGGGTGTAACAACATTGTTCAATATTGTTGACAGCTATGAACAATGTGGGCAGCAAAACATTGTTCAATCCTGTTTTCATCAGTATTGCATCAACCTGCGCGTTTTTACGTGTGTACATGCCGTGATGCGCATGTCAAGTAGCGACAATAACAAAAAAAATGTAAACAATACTTACTTGACTAAAAAATGACTGTGGGGCCCCTTTAAGATTCTCATGCGAATTAGCCTATAATGCAGACCCCAGCAGAAACACGCATATAGGCAATATTTTTATGAGCAACCGTTAATAGTTAGTTGCAAGCGACAGTAATAATAACAATAACAAGGTGGGTCAAGGTTTTATCAAATTTATAACTAAATAACGTTATTTCCTTTAGATTTAGCTTTATTTAAAGGTATAAAAAACCGTGAAAACGGTGAATTACTATAATAGATTGAAAATGATTATTTATCATTTTGACGTTTGAGTGATTGAAATGAGTTAATTTACACTACATCGAATGTCATGTTGAATGTCATGTTGAATCTTATGCGTACTTCACAATGGTTGCTATTTCATTGTATTAAATTTCAATAGTATGTATATAAAATACTATTTATAATTCAAATTTTGTTTGATATTTATATATCATGTTATTTACAAAATGTGCTATAGTTTTGAAGCTTTGCACACAATATAATCAGTGCGAGCACAATGGCTCCGTTACAGTTTGAGTATATAAAAATCGAGTATTTTGAGAGCGTTCGCGGCTTTGAGGTTTTCACGATATATAAATACAAACGCCTGATAATTGATAAATAATCACTATCAGTGCGAGCACAAGGGCTCCAAAATCACAGCAAATAACAGAATATAAGGTAAGCTAAAAACAGTAAAGCTTTACCTACCTCGACTTATTTTTCTGAAGCGCTCAATTATGTAAATTTTCGGCGAATAATCAATATTCCTTTGCGTTTCCCCGACGAAAACCCGGCATGAAAATGCTCGTCGGAAAAACTCGGTATTTGTCGTATTTTACGAATCTGCCACGTGACTGGTACGCTCACCGCTCACCGCTCACGACGACACGAAATTTAGAGCCATATGAAAGTTGCATGCCATATATGGCATGCAACAAAAAACTGGATAGTAATGGCCGTTTTGCGAAATTAAGAGCAATTTCAAATCTGTTCAGTTTTTTTATACACCCTGAAAAGTGTGTATATGAGTGCATGCAGTAATAAAACATTATTATAACCCTCCTAGTGGTCAAAGTTTTTAATTTAGCCACTATTTCAAACATGCACTTACATTCTTTCCAGATTAGGAAGATCGAACAGGCGATCTGGTATGAACTTGATTTTATTTCCAAGTAAAACACTAAAATACAAAATTCATGTTAATAACTTGCTGATTACCAAACAGTTATCACCACAAATAACAATAGTGGATGTTTTGCGAAATATTCGAGGTGCCAAGATTGGCATGCAGCCAAGAGTATCCCGACCCTCTTGCCCACACAAATCTCAGTTCTCGAACATTTTGGCTGATATTCCAGATAAATTGTTTTAATTTCTGGCCCGTGAGGACTTGCATGGCTACGAAATCTCACAATTTTGTTAGAGTAAATCACCAACGCTAGAGTAGCCATCCCGGATCGAGCGTTTAACTTATAGGAACAACAATGGATACGAATTTCACAAATTGTAGTTGAACCGTGCCCAATTCCTTAACCGACCACACCTAATTTTATATAGCCGCGAGCAAGAGTGCTTTAGACTGGACGTCTGGACGTCGCATGCGTACTTTCAAATGCGAGATTAACTTTTTCATCTCACCCTTTCTGGGTTGTAATTCGTGAAGAGGAGATCAACGATAAAACTTATCTACACTGGTGCAATTTCAGTGGTTTATGAAACAACACCAGAGTACCAGACCTGATACAGTATACAGGGTGTATCAAAAAAAGCGCAATCCTCGACTGAAATGTAAATTGCTAAACAAATAATAGACGAAAACGTTAAAGTTTACATTCATTTTAAAGCGTAGCCATTCAGCTTTCTAACAGTGGGTTGTTTCTTAAATTTGACTCATTGGTTCGCGGGTAATAATACTTTACGTTTGTTGTAAAAGTTGCGTTAATTGTATGTAAGAAATATAAGTTAGATTGTAAAGTAAGAAGATGTTTGTGGGCAAAATATGTAGTTGTTTTTGCCAAAACCTTTAATGAACGGATGGACAAAGATTAGGTTATCGTAAGAAGCCAACGCAGCAAACCCCGCTTTTTGGCTGCCAAGCGCGGAAACCTCAGGAATGCGCGCGTCAATGCTTTGGCGCGGAGATTTTAGCTGATATTATAAATAGAGTTGTAAAATGTA